AAACTGAGCCCGGAGCTGAAGGAAATTGCCCCGAGATCCCTCAGACACATGGATGAGGGATTCAAGCCCAGGAAGTTTGGCTGCCACACTCTTAGCCACCTCATTGTGTGCCCAAGTAGGATTAGACCCAAGTCCTCATTCTCCACACACTTGCTGTGTGACCTTGGGCAAGTCACTCCATCTCTCTGAACAGCTAAGATGGCAGGAATAATACTTTCTTTACAATAGCTAGCAACAATGCAGGACAGACCTGCCCATAATGAGGCCTTGGTAAATTTACCCATTTGTTCCTGCCTGATCCGGGTGAAATCTGAGAAAAGCCTGCCTCTCACCCTGGTGTGCTTTAATACGGTTGCTACTCTTGTTTGCATAAATCCATTATTAACAGGAACCGGTTCCCCAGAGAACACATCCAGCCTCATGATGGAAGCCAGCCCGTGTTGTGAAAAGGGAGGGATCTGCAATGGGACTTTCTCAGGGTCACAGGTGGGCTTGCCTATAAGGTATACCTCTAAGCCGGACTGTGCACTTTATGTGTAGACACCTTTAAGGTGGCATATGGCCATCCATTTAAAGCTTCCGTGCCTTCGCACCTGCTATTCCCTCTTCCCGCATCCTTCAAAATTCAGTATGGGCAGCATCTCCTTCAGGAAGTCTTCCCTGACTGCATCTATGTTCACACACCCCTGCTCTGGGGTTCCTTAGCATTCCGTCCCAGCACTCATGACCCTACTTTCTTCTAGCACTTACCACTCCATCTCAGGGAGCTGCTTTGCGTCTTCCCACTCAGTGGTTGGTCCTCACCTCACCCTTCCAAGTGCAATTAAATCCCCTATGGAGTTTTTTCAACAGACACATGCCAAGGTGGCCTCCTTGAAGCTTTGAGAGAGGTGGGTCTAGCACGGGACCCATGGAACCTGGGTTTGAAGAGCTGCAGGGGTGGTTCTGCTGTGCACCAACAGCAGAAGCCTTCACAGCCAATCCTGTATCCTGGTCTCCATGGTAACCCCAGCATCTAACAGATACCTGCACCCAGTCTGTACCCAACAATTACTCACTGGCTTAATAAGTTTCTGCCTCAGTTCCTCCTATCCCCCCATTTTTGCCAACCACTATGCACAATTTTGAGAATACAGCAGCAAACGGGTAAGCAGGTAGAGAGGAAGGAGAAAGGAATGGAGAGTTCTGACAGCTACCTGGCTACCTCAGGCTGCTGAGGGCCTTTTTGAGTCTAATTATGAACAACCATAACCCTTTTCGAAATCTCTAATTGAAGTATAGTTGATACATGTTATTAGTTTCGGACATACCACATAATGATTCAACACTTGCATACGTTACAAAATGCTCACCACGGTAAGTCTAGTTGTCATCCGTCCCCACACGAAGTTATGAGAATATTATTGACAGTATTCCCTATGTTGTACTTCTCATCACTGTGGCTTATTTACTTCATAACTGGAAGTTTGGATCTCTAATCGCCTTCACCTATTTTCCCCGTGCCCAACACCCCTCCCCTCTGGCAACCATCGGTGTGTTCTCTAGAGTTCTGAGTTTGTTTCTATTTTTGTTGTTGTTTGTTTGTTTATGTAATCAATTTGTTTTGTGTTTTAGACTCCACTATAAGTGAAATCATATGATGTTTTTCTTTCTCTGTCTGCCTTATTTCTTTTTTTTTAAAGATTTATTTATTTGAGAGAGAGAGCGCATGTGCAGGGGGCAGAGGGAGAGGGAGAGAGTCTCAAGCCGACTCCATACTGAGCACGGAGCCCAACGTGGGGTTCAATCCCACGACCCCAAGATTACAACCCAAGCCAAAACCAAGAGTCGGATGCTCAACCTACTGCACCACCCAGGCGCCCCTGTCTGACTTATTTCTCTTAGCATAATACTCTCTAGATCCGTCCATGTTTTTGCAAATGGCAAGACTTCATTCTTTTTTATGGCCAAGTGATATTCCGTTGTGTATGTATATCACATTTTTTTTAATCCATTCATCTAGTAATAGACACTGGGGCTACTTCCATATCTTGGCTATTACACATGAGGCTACAGGAAACATGCGTGTATCTTTTCAAATTAGTGTATTCATTTTCTTTGGGTAAATACCCTGAATGATGACTATAATCTTAATACCCTTGCTTTGGTGGTTCTTGACGATTCTCCAAAGCGTTCCTCCTGTGAAGGAAGCAGGGCAAGGATGATAAACCCCATTTCGCAGAAGGCTTTAAAGAATTTTAGAGAAGGCAGAGATCTAGAGATCATTCTGGTGACATCCCATTTGTTTTTCGGTCAGGAAATGAGGCCTGTGGAGAGTGAGGGGAGCTCCTGATGGCCAGAGTTATAACTCATGTCTCCCCATGTCCCTTGCTGCGGTAGGGGGCTGTGTCACTCGGCGGCTGAGGGGAGGGGAGGCCAGTGGTTCTGCCAGTTTGACAACACAGCTCTACCTCTACCTTGTCCCAACCTCACTCTCTTCCCTCTTGGCTCTTGATGACAACATGTCAAGGGAAGTCCTGGCAGGTCTCGGGGGGCGCACTGGCCCACGGAGCCGACAGCATGAAGTTCAGTCCCGAACAGCCATCTGGTTGTTTCAGGTCTCCTCTCTGGTTAGATTCTCTGCTCAGGGACGCCTGGGACACAGCAGTCCATGCCTCTTCCCTGGAACTCACCCCCTGGTTTCTAGAACAGCCTCTCTCCCATCGCAGTGTCCCTGCCTCTGGTCCTTCCTTGCATGGCAGTGGTTCTCGGGGCTCTCTCCTGGGCCTCTTCTTGACCCCCTGCCCCCCTGAGCCCACTTTCGCTCCCACCCATGCAACAGACCCCACACCTGCACCTCCGACCCATACTGTCTCCCAGACCCTACCCAGGACCACCACGGCTGTGGCCAACTAAAAGTCTCCCTTGCCACCCAAACTCAATATGCTGGTGTCAAATCTCACTATCCACCTTCACAAAAGACAAGTCTCTCCTCTACCTGCATTCCCAGCCCCAGTCCACCCCACACCCAAACCTGGCTGGAGCCTCAGCCGTCACTTACCCCTCTGCCACCACCAACCTGTCCACCGGTCCTGTCCACTCAGGTTTATAAGCATCTCCTGGCTTCTTTCTCAGCCAACCCACCAGACAGCATCTCAGCGTCCAGCCTCACCCCTCCACCCCCCTGGGTCAGGGCACAAGTAGGCCACATCACTGAGCTCTGCGGGGGCTCAGGCTCCCCACTAGCCAGCATCTCTGGAGGGCAGGGGAGGGGAAAGGGCTCCTCGTACTGCCCATCACAGTGCTAGACTAAGATAGAAGGTTTTGTGGTGTCTTTCAAACATTTTCTGCCACAAGTCACAGTAAAAACAAAAAATTCCACTGCAATCTGGTACACATAATACGCATTTGAAAAAAAGCTCACGTTACACTTATCCTTACTATGTAGGACAGACCGACTCACATTTCCCGTCCTATTCCATCCAAATTTATCTTCTGCACTTTCTTTGGAAGTTAGTTGCAACCCCGCGAATTGATTTCATGACTCGCTAAGGGGTCATGAAGCACAGTTTCAGAGTCGCCTGTCTATGGAATTTGCATTTTGAGCCTCGTGGACGGCGCATTGTACCCAGACCTGCTCCTCAGAGGGAGGGTCCAGGAAACCAAGGATCTTCTGCTGGTGCAGCCTTTTGTGTTGGGAGCTTGCATGTGAATCCAACCGATGAGGTGAGTTGCACTGTGGCAGGTCCACGAATGTATACAAACATCTGTGGGTTGCCAGGGCCTGGCGAGTCAGGCCCATGTGTGGGGGGTGATATACGTCAGAGGATCTGCGTGGCGGCAAGAAGTCGCTCAAGTTGGTGTGACCAGAAGTGTCTGAATACGTGTACACAGGTGAGCTGATAGACACGCACTTGCTCTTCAAGAATCATAACAGAATCACAACAATCCGTGTTCCCTGTAGATGTGAGCCTGCCTACTCTTGGCGGCAGCAGGGATGGAGAGACTCCTGAGAGAAGGAGCAGTGGCCAGGCCCTGGGAACCCAAGGAAGCTCACGAATGGCCTGGGAGAAGCTGCGCCAGCCTGAGGCCTGGCGGGTCCATGGACACAGTCATTGATCGGGGAAGCCACACCAGGAGAAGAAAGGGGGGCATCCAATGCCCAGCGGCCCCCCCACACACACACACACAGAGCCCCAGCCTTTCTTTCCCCTTATGCCTTGGACACGGTCCTCCACCCAGGCTTCTCCCAGGTTCCTCCCCAGGTCTCCCCTTTGCCTCACGGTCACAGAAACATCACAACTGTGGCGTCTCTTCCAAATGTCTCATTGGCCATAGCATGTACTCTATTTATACCAATTCACATTCTAGTTCACCCAATAGGACCCAGCACATGTGACATTCCCAGATAGGCCTGATCACGCCTGGGTCTGCCATTCATACTTACTGCTTCCTCTAAAAGATTTTCTAATGTCTAAATGCCTACACCCTAAGCCCGACCAGGGCACCCCAGCCCTGCTGAGAGCCTTCCAGTGACTCCCTGCACTGGAAATCAAACCCTGAGGGCACAGGCCCACAGGCCCTGCCTGCTCAGCCTCCCAGAGCCCTCCCCCACACACCCTGCCCCCTCTTCCCACACCTCCCTGAGTGCTGGCCATGGCCACACACATCTTCCCCCAGAACTTCACGTGCTGTTTCTTTCTCATCATGCAGAACTCAGCTCAGACATTAATTATCCCCTCAACAGTGTTGGCATGAGAGGATGGGCTTTGGGGAGAGCCTACATTAGCTTCTTCCTCCCATAAAATCCTAAATGGCTCCTTCCCAAAGACACATCCAAAGAAACTCCCACCTTAAGAAAAAACCATTTTGAGACAGATCCCCTGGCCCTGCTTTCCAACCAAATACCCCTCCAGGCCTTTCCATCTAAAATTCAGTTGCCACCCCTGACCTCCCAATTTAAACATCTGGCATCCTTTTATAGAACTAACATTATGGGACATTCTTATCTTTGTGTTTACCTGTTTATTGGTTGGCTCTCCGACGAGACTGTGAGGTCCATGTTGGCAGAGGTCTTGCCTGTCTCATTCAGGCCCACATTCTGGAACATAGCAGCTGCTCTGCAGACATCTGTTGAATGAATGGGTTGACCATCGTTTTGCCAGGCCCATAGCTAAGACCTCCTTATACAGAGATCATTGTATCCATCATCAATACCTCCGAGTTGCTCAAGACCACCTGAAGGAGAAAGGAAGGAAAGAGCAGTAAGGGAACTATGTTTACTGAAAGCTAGAAGCTTTGCAAACATGATCTCGTTCAGTCCTCGTAATAGTTGCAAGAAATAAGTATCAGCCCCCCTGGCAGCGCCACCCCGTTCTCCTGGCTCCCACCAGCCGCATGTATCCCCCGAGGTATCTCTGTCAGTTGACTTATTGCCTGCCCCGTCCCCCTCCCCAGGCAGCCCAACCCCTCTGTGTTCTGCTCCCACAGCCCCTGCCCACCTCTTGGGTCTCTCAGTGATAAGAGCAGCAGGAAAGGAGCTCCCCCCCACCAAAGAAACAACTAGAAATGCAGCCATGGTGAGAAGCTTCTGTCCATCAGGGTTCCCCCGGGGCCCAGTGGGATATAGGCACCCATTGATAATTTTGTGACAACGTAGGGGAAAAAAAGTTTCTGATATCAAGGTCAAAAGAAATAAAAGGTTGTATCTACCCAGTGTTTACAACCGTCAGCCTGATGGGAACAAATGGACAAGAGCCAGAAGGCGCTGGAGAAAAGCGGAAAATTGCGGTTTGGAGTGGTGGGATGGGAGAGCTACACTACGAGTGGTTGGTCTCATTCAGTTTTATTCTTGCCTAAATGCTAGTCTTGAAAAGAAAATATTAGGAGGGACAGAGAAAAAGAAAGGGAGGGGGAGAGGGAGGAAGAAGGGAAGGAAGGAAGGAAGGAAGGAAGGAGGAGGGGAGGATGGGTGGAGGGGAGGAGGGAGCAGAAAAGTAAATCCCTGGCCAATTTTTTCCTGGAATCTGACTGCTGTCCACAGAGTAGGAGTCCCAGAGCAGCCCTTGCCTCCAGTGGGCAGAGAGGTAATGGGAGCCAAAGAGAAAGACAGAGCCAAAGGCATCGGAAAGAGACAGGTGTCCAACCGTGTCACCTATTCCCCAAGCAGCAATCACGGGGCATCACTCTCAATCTGACGCTCAGGGGGCTCAGCCTTCTGCCATCACCCCAAAACCAGCATGCCGGCTCTCCCATCTCTCCTGCACACATGCGGCCCCCAGCTCAGTCCACACCTTCCCCTTCAATCCCCTGTTCCCTGTTCCCTTTCCCCTTCAAGAGCCAACTCAAAACTCTCCTAAAAACAACAACAACAACAACAACTCTCTTCTTCCCGGAAGCATTTCTGGATTACCTTTCACTCTGTGACTCTTTGGGAACTTGCTAATGTTTGTCTTCCTCATACTGTGGGATATTTCATCAAATTGCAACAAATCTTTAATATTTGGAAAGAGCATGGGCTTTAAATCCCAGCTCTGCCACTATCTAGCTGTGTAATCTTGGGCAAGTCGCTTAACCTCTCTGAGCCTCAGTGTCTGAAATCATCAAATGGAAATACTGATACACCCTTCAGGGCTTGTCTAAAAAGTCAGTGAGATAATATATATGCTAATATCCCAGAGAGCGTTGGGCAAATAGGAAGCAGTCAATAAATTGTAGTTCTTATTATAATGTGTGGCATAAAATTCTATGAAAGAGGGGGAGAGGGAGACGAACCATGAGAGACGATGGACTCTGAAAAACAAACTGAGGGTTCTAGAGGGGAGGGGGTGGGAGGATGGGTTAGCCTGGTGATGGGTATTAAAGAGGGCACATTCTGCATGGAGCACTGGGTGTTATGCACAAACAATGAATCATGGAACACTACATCAAAAACTAATGATGTAAT